ACGTCGGAGATATTTACAAAGACTATACATACATACTATACATATAAATAAAAAGTAATTTACAATTTTTTATTCACATAAGTCTTTTTAAAAAAACAGAAACATTCAAAAAAGTGAAAGCAGAACAATTCTAGTTTATTTTTATTTAATTTTTTTACTTGGAGTTTTGTCCATGGATCGGTCGTGGTTCTACATACCATATAGGCCTGACAAACCTCTACATCGAATGCCACACCATACATTGACTTTTTGTGGGTGCAATAGCCTTTCGAAAATTACTTGGGAATTTTAACTATTATCACTGCCGCATATATTGAGTTTTTTGACATATTCACCAAACAAACAATAAGTCTAATCACTAATGAAATGCAATTTTTCTAGTTCACATTTTTTCAATTTTTACACGTTCAGCAATTGTTAAGAGAAATATATTGTAAAATGGCAAACTTAAGTTAAACATATAAAGCCATTCATACGAGTAACAGCTTTGCTTCACATATGTACCTATGACAGCAGCATTAAATGGTTGATATATATAAAATATTTTATATTATATATTTTTATATTAATTATATTATATTTTTACTTACTTACTATAGTCATCTTCTCCTCGTGGAGTATAGGCTTCATATTATATTATAGTTACTAGATTAGATTGTATTATATATATATTAATTAAAATATATATATTAATTATATTTTGTATTAATTAAAATTATAAGTTTCCTAGATGTTTTGCAGGTTATTCGTTGTAGCATCCATTTTATAACTATCAATAGAGAGAAATATGTCTTCTTGATATCCCCTTAACATTTTTAAAAGTCTGTTTGTACAATGTAAAGGCTTCGGTTGGACCCTTACATTGCGCCACGTACCACATTTTTTAATTTTAGTTAATTTTTAAGTCCAAAAATTTATAAATTCAGTATTAGTTGTTAAATAATATAAACTTTAAAATCATGATAAATTTAATTGTTAATAATTTTTTGTTCAAATAATATTATAAGATTTCAAATAGATATTGTTGCAGTAATTTCCAGCTGCATTTTGTATATCCAGATCGGTCTTAAGATAGCTTAGTACTGAGCTGTTGATAAATGGTTGTGTTTGTCAATATATTTTAAAGTACAGATTTTTGATTGTAAATACCGTTTTGAGAGTATATTCGGTTTTTATTTCGATTTTCTATTGAGGTTATGTGGTAATAACGTTGATTTTGAAGAATGGGCATGTTTTTTGATTAAGAATGAATATTGTTGGGTCAGGCAACGTCTCATTGGGCTTAATTCGCTTTTTTCGCAAACAATAAGTAATTTAATCTAGTTCCTGTTAAAATTTAAATAAAAATAACTGCTAAATGCTTGCGTTATCAGGAAAGTTTTCAATAATAACACAATCAGAAATTGGTATATTGTTCCATATAGGTAAAAGAAAGTATGCGATGCTTTTTACTGTAGTTTTATAGAAACTAAAGGGTATTATACTTGTACTGTTTTTGCAATATCTTTTATTATGAAAATGAAAGGAAAGTATCGGAAAAATGATAGTGGCTGCGTTAATTGTTGTATTATATAAAATTATATTATACAAAAAATTCAAAATTTAATTCAAAATTAAAAATTTATAAATTCAGAAAAATAGTATTTTCACTCCGTCCATCCTCCTCTTTTTTATAGGATTTTTGATTCTAACTTCAATTTATATTACAATATAATTGATTCTGTTCGTCTTAACATCTGTATTTTTGCTGAAAATTGTATGAAAATACTGAAGTAAATTACGTGATTCGCATATAATTCAACACCTGTCTTAGTTTTTTACAGAGTTGTAATGTCCGGTATATTAATGTTGTTCATATGGGTATTTTTCCTAAATGTCAATCTTTCAAATAATATGTAATGGTTAACGTGTTAATTTCATGGTATATTTAACGTACAGAAATATTTTGGTTCCATACATTAGTCTTGTAATAACTGTAATAGTACGAGTAGTATCTACATTTGGCTTTGTTATTAGGAAAGTATTTTTTAGAAAGAAATATTGAAAAATTTAGCCTTTAATTCAAATGCTTACGCTTTAAAGTTTTAAATTTAATCTATTAAAATGTTACTTTAGGTACACCCTAATGTTTTTCCGTTCGTGTCAAATTTATAACAATTTACAATTTACATAGAATATATATATGTTTAAATATAATATTGAAATAATATTAATTCTTTCAGTTCTAATGTAATTATTATGGAAAAATAATAAATATAAATAACTATGAAAAAAGTTTTAAAGAAGTAATAGAGTTAGTTTTCTAATGTAGAGAAGATATCTGGAGGAACTCTTGCCTAAGTGCACTTTAATATTTTACAGTAACAAGTAAAGAACCGATAGATATGAGGGTAATGATGTAAAAAACCCTAAAAAGTGAAATTTTGCACATAATGTAAAGTATCTATCATTTCTTTAATTTATTTTTTTTTTTTATTTAGATATATTAGGGAACCCCTTCTTATTGCACCATCAACTTCAATCTATATTACAATCAATATATTACAATCAATATTATATTTTTCATAATAGTTTAAGGTTCTTTAGTAAGTTAGAAGTTTTCACATATAGAGGAATCCTGAAAGTCTTTTATTTGCGCTAGAAATACAAAAAGTATTCAAGACAAATAGAGAAAGAAATTTTTTAAAAAAATACAAAGGATCCATCATATCCTTTTTCATTTATTTATTTACATACATTACGGACCCTTATTATTACTTCATATTCCAACAAACGGTAAGTACTAAAAGCTAAAAACTAAAAATTAAAAAAAAATTATAAGAATAATAATATATAAAGTTAAAAACAAATAAAGTTGGTATAATAGTTTAATACTCTTTTGTAATTTCGAAGCTCTCACATATACAGAGATCTTGAAAGGCCTTTAGTCAAGCAAAAAATACAAAAGGTATTCAATACATATATAGAACGAGTTTTTATCTTACATCAATGACAAAGCTTCTACACTCGTAAAACCCAAAAACTGAGGTATGACGACCAGGACGATCAATATTATAATTGTAAATTATAAATGACTGTTATTAATATAAAGTATTGTTATATTGTCTATATATAACATAACAAAATTACTCGATAATTTAATTTAATAATTAATCTTTTGGCAGTAATTAATTAATGAACATAAAAAAGAAATCATAGTTACCAATAATGTTATTAAAAACAATATTTGTCACTCTTGGTATTTCCCCTTAGTTCCCCAATTATAATTTCTATGTAGTTTATATACCATAGACATGCACACTTTATATATATATTAATAAGTATTCATTGTGTTAGCAATATTAGCGAATGATTTCTGAATAAATAATATTTTACAATTTTACTGATAAGATTTATGGGATATTTTTGTCTATCTTCAAATTTTAAAAATGAAATAGGTCGCATCTTTAATGCTATTGACATATGGATTTGTTGTTAATATGTGAAATGAAAAGAAAACAATTCACAGAATTGATTTCACTGATAAATGTTACAATTTTTGTTTGATTGTAAATCGTCAAAATATTCAGAAGCGAATATTGAACTTAGGGTTTTTACAAATATTGAATACTAAAGGCTTGCGAACAATAATTATAAGAATTTAAAGATTATTTTTAGAGCCTCTAGGTATAGCAAAACTAACAGAACTAATAAAATCCAAAAATCACATTCAAATGCGAATGGTAAAACCATAATCTAGTAAATTTAGAAACGATAATATTGAAAAGTAAATGAATAATTTAATATTAGAGTTTTGAAAGATTGTTTTAGCGTCAATTGTTAAAAAAGATAAGATGGTGCAGTCATAAGTCAGTAGGTGAAAAATGTAACATAGTAAGCTGATTATAATTAATTATTTAGGTCACATCAGGAAGTATGTTGTGCTAAACCCAGTTTTTGATCCACTATTAATCTTTTAAAGAGCCCGAAATATTAAACTCATAGTTTTATGAGAGTTGTCACATACTCTTTCGAGTAAGATGAACATGGTGGCTTGGTTGGTTATAGTGACAGGTCAGCAGATATGCTTGCACTCCCATATTTTATAAATATTCGCTTTTTCACCAGTTGTAAAAAAAATTTTAAGTGATAGAAACTAATGTCAATCCCTTAAATTTATGTAATTTATAGTTAATTCTGTTATTACAAATAAATAGTCTATCAAGCTATCAAACAACTAATTTCCTAAAAACCTGTGTCTACTGGATGCAAAAGTTGGGCGATGATAGACGAAAGCTTAAGTACTTTTTCTATTGGTAGTTTCCACAACTTCTGCAAAGAATATTAAAATGGTAGCGTAGTTCTTTGAGTGGTTTTCTATACAGAAGTGACCCGAATGGATAACATTAAATCTTGCATTATTCACGCTGTTCCTGTTAATGGGTTCGCATGATCTAATCTTTTTCTGTAAAGGTCATGTTGACCGAGAAGTTAAATATGATATAAGTGATTTCCATATGAGGTAGCTGAAGAATGTAGAGGTTTGTACTTTTCTTAAAAGTATCCCGGGGAATACATACCGGAAGTCATAGGTACAGCTCCATAGAAGCACCAATGTGCACCAAAACTTTGCGTTTTCATTCATATACACACATAAGGTAGATTGAGTATTTACTTAGCAAGAGTAGATATTAAAGATAGCTTCTTATTTTAAATTTCAGAAATTGAAGTAGAAACGTGAGTTAGATTAGAATTACTACTAATGATTTAAATCATTAATATTCTAATATTCATAAGTGACTTATGAAATCTTATTTAATTATTTCTGACAGACAGAAAGAGAAGCAAGAAAGAAAAAATATAATACTTTTACTCACTTCACATATTCGACAACTTCGATGAATAAGTCCGGCACTGGTTTATTAGTCAAACATGAGTTGAACTCTATTCGTCTCTCAATTTCATATCAGTTCAAATTTTAACTCGAGCAAGTAAAGTGTGTTTTAATTATCAATAAAAAAATGTATAAATTTGATGAAATTAATTATTATGAGGATGACTTAAATATTAAAAATATTTTAAAAGAAATTAATTTACAAGAAATTGATGAGTCGTTAAATATTTGCGATCTTACAAATATAGTTAATAAACATGATATCTGGCAGAAAAATTTACCGCGCATACATCCTCATTATGGTAGGTGAAATAGATGTCTTAATATCATATTTAAATTATTTAAAATTATAAATTGAATATAATTAATTAGTAGATTACAAAATATTTTCATATAAAGAGTTTTTTTAATAAAAGAATCGTATTTATTTTAGCTGTGAAATGTAATGATAATCCATATATTGTCAAAACATTAGCTGAACTTGGTACTAGTTTCGATTGTGCTTCTAAAAACGAGATAAAGCAGGTATTTTAGATCTATTGAATTTGATTTTGATTTCTGATAATTAATAGTTATCATCAACAGGTATTGGACTTTGGGGTTAATCCGGAACATATAATTTTTGCTAACCCTTGTAAGCCACTTTCACATATAGAATTTGCCAAGGAGAAAAATGTTCAAACTGGCACAGTTGATAATGAGTTTGAAATCTATAAACTATATAAACATTATCCAGAATCTAAGTATATAACTTTAAAATTTTTATTTATTGAGTTTAGTTAATTATAATGCAATTATTTAACTTTTTAGGTTAGTTGTACGCTTCCGTTGTGAAGCAAAAAATGCTCAATGTCCGCTTGGCAATAAGTTCGGTTGCGATGCTGAAAATGATGCCACTGCGCTTATGTTACTTGCAAAGAGTTTGGACCTCAATGTAAATATGACTTTTTTATCCAGCTTAAAAAATGCGTTCAATATACCATACAGCAATTCATAACCAATAATATTTCTAACAATTACTATTAGATCTATTTAAAAAGAATAGAATCCACAGATATTTTAAAGATTCGATCTAACACATTATTCCTTAATTCGGTGGATTTGATTTGACAAAAGTCACAATTATAAAAGTTTTCGAACCCTAGTATATTCTAGTCAGGATTATGTACAGCATATTTTTGATGTATAATAACATAGTCTTATGTCGTGTCTTTTACTTGATACAAGTTGTAGATACTCTCTACAAATCTATTCTGATCACTATAAACATCAGTTACGTTACGAGTAGCTTATAGCTGTTATAGGTAACAAATAAGCTGTTATGACAGATGTATGTGCCAGAGCAAGATTTAATTAATAATTATGTTCAGTAGACATCGGCTTAATGATTCGACTATTTAGTGTACTAAATAGTGTCATTTGGGTATATCGTCCCTCAAGCAGGCTTCTCTGCCTGACGTACCAAATTTGCTATTTATGGGAAAGTTGGGTATTTTCAGATGATTGGTTGTTCCTATCTTGTTTCACACAATCATGTTTTCTAAAATTTACTTAGAAAACAATTTGCTTAGATCTTGGCTAAGCAAGTATAGCAAGTATTAAGTACACACATCAGTTTTTAAAATCTAGTGTTAATACAAAAATTCTCTTTTTATATATTCTACCATAAGTTGCCAGATATAACTATAGGTTGTATACCAGGTAGTTTTGTAATAATTCATGGATGGAAAATTAGTTGCTCTGAGAAGACTTTTCAAAGTTCCAGGGTACATTAGGACGAATGACATCCTGATGGACATCAAGATTGATCCCATCAAAAAATACATAAAAGATAGAGCCCTGAAATTATTTGTGAAAACTGGCAGACTTATCAACACCGCGTTATCAAATCTCAAAATGGTTACAGGCTCCTCGGGGAGGTATTGCAGATCTGAGTTCAATTATTGCTTAGTCTGATGAAGTAATAAACAATAATCTAGTCTTAATCTAGTAAGGAGGGGTTTTAAAAATAACTCGAGTTAAGAAAGAGTAAAAGTGCTTAAGTGCACTGGCTCAAACAGCTTCAACATAATAATAATATTTATTAAAAATGAGTACAGTTTTTTCTATAATGAAACTTTATGTAAATCATTAAAAGTGCTTGTAGATAGCACTACCATTTTTTACTATAGCAATATTTTATTTTGTATCTCTTAAGCACTTTTTTAAAATCTTTTGTTAACAAAGGTTTGTGGTACAAGTTTCCATGTTGGTTCCGGTTGTAATGAATTTGCCGCCTACAATCGTGCTATAATGACAGCTAAAAATATATTTAACTTTGGTGAAATGCTTGGTTTCAATATGAATTTACTCGATATCGGTGGAGGTTTTCCAGGAAGTGATGATACAAAATTTTTAACAGTAAGTCCTTATATTAACAATAAAATGAAAATGTATGAAAATGAAAATTAATTTTATAGATATCGAATATCATAAATGTCGCGTTAGATAGATACTTTTCAAGTCAAAAAATCAAAGTTATAGCCGAACCTGGTCGATTTTATGTGGCCGCTGCATACACGCTCATTTGTAAAATTCATGCTAAGCGTGAAGTTCGAAATGCTGGAAAACTGGACACTAAAATGTACTATATTAATGACGGAGTTTATGGGTCTTTTAATTGTATTCTGTATGATCATCACGAAGTCACAGCAACGCATATGTTGGTAAGTATTTGAGAATATTAATTTAATGGAGTTTATTAAAATTGTTTATAAAATGATATCGATTTTTAATTAAAAAAAAATAAATAAATAGCATATATAAACATCTTTTCGTCTCTGTATATATATGTATATGGTATTAAAGTTGAAGACTTTCTGAGTTGAAAATAGAGAAATTTAAGTTAATGACTAAAATCTTTATTTAATGGATGAAGTGCAAAGATTACATTATTAATTTTAAACAATTTAAAAATTAAAACAAATATACCAATTTGTGTTCTATTAGAACTTCAATGAACTTAATTAAAAAAATTACAATAAATAACATTAAATAAAATGTTATGAGTTTTATTGTTTATTATCAATAATTTGTAATAATATTTTTATTTTTAAAATAAAATTATATTATTCTTACGTTTCAGAATGATAGTGAAGGAGGATTACCCACATTTAAAACATTACTTTGGGGACCTACGTGTGATGCTCTAGACAAGGTAAATTGATAAATTTTTAAATTTTTGCCCTTCTTATAATCTTAATATCAAAAACTATAATTCATTAATATTTAATAGCTGTAATAACTGTAATATAGAGCTATTACTGGTCATAACAAGTAATTAGAGTTCGATAAAACAATTCTTATAGATATTTCATATATTTTTTTTTTTTTTATAAATACATATCTAGTTTCCTTGCGTAGTTTCTTTTGATATTGTATTTTTTCGTCAATGATGGAAGTACCCTTAAAAAGTATCTCCAACAGTTATGTAGCTAGTGAGACTTCGAAAAATATTTTTAAATATACCCTATTATGTCGGTTAAGAATGTATAAATCAATCTTTTGGTAAGATTTGTTTCTAGGGTAAACTTATAAATGCCTCTCAGGAGTTAAGATAGGTCCATCCGTTTTGAATATATATGCTGCGCTTGTATGTATTATACTACATAAGAGACATTAACCCATAAGGTTTTCACCCAATTCATTGGTTAGAGTATTGAAATCTATCTTGACACGGAATAATGTGGTATGCATTAAAAGCTTTATTTGTTAGATAATTAAAATATTAGAAGAAAATATTAATGAATTAACTGTAAGTGGCTATCTGCCGACTATTATAGAAAAATATATAAAACAGCAAAGCATTGACCTCTAAGAAGTACATTAGATCCAATGCTATGGTCACAAAAGTATCAATGGAAATGATAACTATCACAAAGATTGAATCACTCACTAAATATTGTGGACTGGAGCCTATTGTGGACTAAATTGCTGCACAATGTAGTCTTTAAGAGAAAAATTGTTTGTAGCCGAAAGAAGTCGCTACTGGCGTTGCACTCACGGTTGCCACTTCAAAATTTTTTTCTATACCAAAATTGGTTTAAAAAGGTACCATTTCTGTAAAAGAAGGTCCAAAATTTTTCTATTGTCTTTTTATAAGAAAATACAATATATACAAAATGTACAAAAACTATAAAACAATACAATATCCACAATAAAGTTGGGTCGCCGAAAATGTACCATTTTTTGAACATGAGTACCAGAGTACCAAACGGAAAAAAAGTACCAATTTTGGTACTAAAGTACCATAAGTGGCAACCGTGGTTGCACTCTTAGAGTTAAGAGGAACTGGTTCGTTTCTATAACTTTGGTATGGTGCTCTTTCTCGCAGAAAAGCAGCCTGTTATTAGATTTCTAGGTTAATTTGCTAACAAGCAAGATAACTAATTTTTAACTTATTCTAAAAAAATTAACTGGTTTCTCGCGTAATCCAATTTTATTATGGATTGGAGAAGTTATGTAAAATAAAGGCGATGATTGTACTATCAGTCGTAGAAATTATGGTTACGGTTTTCTTGGCATAATGAAAGCGTGCCTTAAACTACGTTATAGAATAACTGAAGTGTTTGAATATCTCCTTTATTCATCATATTTAGAATTAAACTAGTCTGGTGTTCAAAGTTAAAAGTAAATTGTGGCGTTGCATAGGACCCAAAAATATAGTATATTCAGATGGAGAAACTTCTATTAAAGAAACTATTTATTAGTATAAGCTTATGTTAGATAAATATAAACAAAGTTAATTAAAGTGAATGAGAATTAAATTTAAGTTTTATTTATTTAACATATGTAACAAAAGACTATGAAAGCAATTACTCCAAAATTTGCTACAACTATACATACAAATATATTATATACATACATCTGTATATTTGAGTTTATGTTCTTTTTATATATATTTTCGTTTAGTAATGCTTTAGTTTGTAGCAGACTTGGTCTGTCTGTGTCATTATTTGCTTTTGCAATGATCTTTACCTTAAAAGATGTTTAAGGGAAAATACGAATATTGCTATCTCTGATATTCTTTTGTTATTTAAAAGAGTAATTTTCATTTGTGAACATCAGAACTCAAATTATAAGAAGCAAACACAGTAGCGTCGCTAGGCGTCAGCGATGCCGGCCTCGCGCCCACTGGGGCCTCTCAAAAAGTTACCGACTGTGGATTCTAAGCACTTAATAAATATTATGAACAATTTGGTTTGATATTGGCGTTAACCATATTCGAAGTATTCCCGAATGTTTATATATTAACCAGATTCATGTTCACAGTTCCAGTCAGTATAGCTTCGATGGAAAGAAGCTTTTAAAAATTAAAATTGATTAAGACGTACGAGAAAAGTATGATGATCCAAGAGAGACTATCTCCATTGGAAATTCTATAAACTGAAGCAAAAATATCAGTTGGCGCAAATTATGATATAATTTAAAAAAAAATTGAGTGAGGCTAAGAGGAGGAAAATATATTTATTTTAATTTGATTAGCAATAAAACTTTCAACAATGTAACTTGAAAGTTTACAACTGGGTTATAAAGGGGGCCTCGCAATTCTGATGTCGCCGACATTTATTTAAATGACATATAAACAGCAGAGTGATAACTGCTCTTGATTTTATATATACTCTTTGACTGCATCCTGGTTTTCCAGTCTGCAATAAAACTTGCAATTATACCTTACGATGTTAGCTGTTCATGGGGGGGCTTTAATTCCAGTTTGAAATTTTAGTGTTTTTAATTATATTTTATATAATAAAATTAAATTTACCTTGCTTAATTTATTATTATTAAAATACTTTTCATTTCAGATATCGGACAATTTATATTTGCCTAATTTAAACTGCGGAGATTTGCTAGCATTTCCTAATATGGGCGCATATACAGTTCCAATAGCAAGTCCATTTAATGGATTTATGACACCAAAAACTCTTTATTTTATGAAAAAGAAGCCAACTTGACAAATAATTGTTAATAAAATGAAAATAAGAATTAAAATAAATATAAATATACTAAACATATTGCCGAACTTTTCTATTATGATTTTGATACTAATAAGGCTTTTCAGTAGTAAATGTTTTTCTTAAGAATACTATAATCTGTTCAAATCCTTTAAATATATTGATATTTTCAGCGTATCTCTCTCCATAACCAATTTTCAAGAATGAAAAATGAAATTCTCCGTGGTGAATATAATTATTACAGCAGTAATCTACCAATATATATTGATCGCTTATAAAAAATAATGCTATTCTTATAAATTATGAGTTAATTTATTAGAGAAGTCTATTCTCAAAAGAGAAATACAGAAACACAGCAGTAATCTACCGATATATATTGATCGCTTATAAAAAATAATGCTATTCTTATAAATTATAAGTTAATTTATTAGAGAAATCTATTCTCGAAGGAGAAATTCAGAAACACATCTCTCAAGACCAAAAAATAAACATAAAAAAGGTTTTAAAATTATTGATGGTGTGATTCTTAAGTCAATAACAGTTGCAAGACGGAATTTTTCCCAGAACCGTCTGTAAAAGTAATAGCAAAGAAAAAATAATTTCAGAGAGACTTAGGATATACTTAGTAATGCATGGTGGCACAAATTTATACATAAAAGCCACAAAGTGATCGAAACAGTCGTTTTCGGTGAGGGGCTATCATGAGCTTACATTTTTTTTAATATTATTTAAGTTGTTGTAAATGTATAACATATGTCACACCACTTCATTACCTTCCGGATTGACATATATATTGGAGTATAAGATTTGTGAAAAGAAAGTATTATCCTTCAAATAATATTCTGATAATAGGTAAGCTGTTCACAGTGATTTTGGTGAGAGCAATTTTATAATTTTTAAAATAATGGAAAAAAAATTCATATGATCATTAAATATCGTTTTTCGATGAGGAAAAATACTGTTGAGGAGAAACTGCTAGATAACCGACTATGAAATGGGTGCTGCTTTGTAACACGGTCGCTCAAATGTCGACCGACCCTTCGTTCATGCAAATTAACACCTCTCGCTCACTTGTTATTGGGCAATCTTAAGTCATTGGTGTATGCCGCCACACCAGCAACTCTTGAAGCATTGGAAGCCAATGCTAATGCCACCACTGATGCCGTACGGCAACATTTGCAAAAAATAGTTAAAAATTGGACTGATCGAATGGACCATGTAACTCGTAGCCACGGCGGACATATGCCAGAAAACATATTCAAAAAATAATTTTTTTTTGTTTTATTATTTTATTCAATTACGCCTAGTTAAAAATAAAAACTAATTAGCAATATTTTAACATCGGGGACTTAAAATAGTCGATATTAATCCTTATCTGTAATATTATAGTATAATGATTAATATGTAATTTAATTAATTAAGTCAGACGATTTGGTTCTCTTAAGCCGTCGTACGATATCTTATGTTTGAAAGAGTGATGAAACATCTGTGTTGCAGTGAACTTCATCTTTTTTTATGTTCCGGAACCTGAAGCCTGATTATTGCGGCGACTGTCGAAATGTCAAAGTTATAATGAAGGTCGCTGTTATGGACAATACCATGGAGCATTGGTAATTGTTCTTAGGATGTTGTTTTGATATGGTTGGACTATTCGCCTATTTGACTAAGACGTGCAACCCCTGAGTTGAGTTCCGTAGGCCTAAAGTGGACATAATACCTGCTTGGATACTATTAGCTAATGTTCGATTGACATAACAGAATTTGGTTCAAGTATGGTTACTTAATTGAGTTGAACTTAAGATTTAGTTTTTGACGTTTTTTTTTTACATGATGACACCACCGAAAACTTGCATCAAGTGTTATGCCCAAGTATTAAAAAATAAATAAATAAATTCTATGAAATCATCTACCAGATTATAATAATCTTATTCTGACAATATTTTTGTCTTGTATTATTTTATTTAAGTTCTGTAACGAACCTTTTCCGCCGAAGTTTCGTTCGCCGGATCCCAGGTCAAGCCCTACAATAAATTTATTTGATAGGAACAGTGGAAAGTTAGATATGTAGATTTCTATGCACCTATAAATAAGATTTGATACAAAATGTGAATTTCGTATTCACGACGGAGACTTAATAAATTGGTGATGGTGATTGGAGATGTAAATTTTTATCCACCTCTAAAGTTTACCAAAAATATAGATGTAAATTACTACTTGTGTCACAGTTAGCACTTAGTAAATCGGTATTGATACCAGCTCAGTGCTTTGCTGATTGCGTCCAGAGAATAAGTGTTAAAGAAATGTAGGATCTTAGCTATATAATTGATTTTGTATTAAAAATGTGGATTTTTAACGCATTTAAAAATCGCTCTATTGTAGAAATGTAAATTTCTTCCTTAGATTAGGGAGGACTAGTAGTACGATATCGTCGCAAGCCCGATATGACAATTATTTACAAATAAATCTGAAAAGAAAACACTGAAAACAGACTAAAGTTGTTCTTTATTTTAAAATATTTTCAAAAATTCAAAAAGAAAAAAAAGATTTTACAAAACAGATTTCAATATAAATTTTTCACATAAAAATTAATGTATCGAAAACAATATTTATCGATAACAATATTTTGTAAAATAACAACTGTCAAATATTGACTCTGACCCTTTCAATATTGCAGTCAACAGTTTCGGTTATTTTGGAAATATTATTTTTTTATTAATTCAACATTCATATAAAAAATATCAATTAATTTTTAATACTTATCTGAGTAATAATTATTGTTTTTAGTTTTTATAGTTTTCATAGCTTTTTTTTTGAGAATAAAAATCATGTATATAAATTGCTTTACTAAGTAGTGTAAATAATTGAAATGATTTTCGACAGTTCGGCAGACTGCCACTAAAACAATTGAAACTGACCCTAAAATAAGTTTTAGTCACACATAAAATTTTAAATTTCCATAAATTTGAAACATTTTTTTTTTGTGTTTGTTTCATTTAAATAAATTAATATAAAAATCTATAAGCATAAGACTTTTTCCGTATTTAATTGTATAAATTTGTGGTTTCGGCCTTTTTATGGCACAAATGATATGTTTCGTTACTTTTTGATATGTTTTATTTTAATTTTTTTTTATTTTAATCAACATTTTAATGATTTTTTTTTTTAACTTTTGAAAGCAGCTTAACATTTATAATTAAAACTTAATTCAACATTGTTTTTGTTTTTTATATATATAGCAAAAATTCACGTTATAATTTATATATATATATTTATTTCTTTATTTTTGAATTAATATTTTTCCATAGTAATTATTTTTATATTATTATTTTTTTTTATTGATTTCAAAAACATAGAAACAATTCTAGAAACAATTCTATGTTTCAAAAACATAGAAAATAGTTCTATGTTCCAAAAACACAGAAACTATTTCTATGCTTCAAAAACATAGAAAATAGTTCTATGTTCCAAAAACACAGAATCTATTTCTATGCTTCAAAAACATAGAAAATATTTCTATGTTTCAAATCATAGAAACTATTTCTATGTTCCAAAAACATAGAAAATATTTCTATGTTTCAAAAACATAGAAATTATTTCAATGTTTCAAAACCGTTCTATGTTTATGATTAATTTATTCTTTTCTCAATAAGAATTCAACTTCATTTCAATTCCGTTTCAAATTTTACTTGCAGAACGTTTATCTGTGCAAATAATGAGTACAAACTACTTTAATCAGTTCTGGAAATAACATATTTGTTCACAGTAATAAGAAATCATTGTATATATAATTTATTATTATAATTATTAGATGTTTTTGCATTTTTGAACTTGTATAGATAGCATTGCAAAAGTAATTTAACTATATATTACTTTCAATATATATATTTAATAAATATTTAGAGTAGACATCTATAAAGAAATATATAATTTTTGCAGTTTTTGCATAAACCAAAATGATTGTATTTCACACAACAACGATATTTTAAAAAGCCTTATATTATATATATTAAATTGAAAAAAAATTTTGTTCTCAGAAACAATGAAAAGAGGCTATCAAAAATGACAACAGACACAGATTATCTTAAACTACACACACATTTTTCAATAATTTTTCAAAAATATCTTGAATACAATATATGAAAACTCAATATATATGAGTATATATAATAATAAAGTGTATATGATGATAGTATTATAATGGAGTTATTAACTCTCAAATAGAAGCAATAGAAGCAGTACACGTATCTATGATAATATGATATGTTTAGTTGTCGTAACTCTTATAAATAGATTATATGCATTAG